ATGGCCGGATTTCCCATCCACTGTGGCGACTTTCGTCTCACGAAGGGTTTTGTGCGCACCCGCACTTAAGCGCGGCCTTCCCGCGGCATCCCCACGCTCCCACGTGCATTCTGGGAAAGGGGCCGGCCCTCGAGGTCTGCGATGTCTTCTCCGCACCCAGGACCGTGACTGGCTGGTGTCCAAGCCCACGGGCTGGGGGACGCAGAGAGGGGTTTGCTCCCAGGGCGGTGACTCCGCTCAGTTGGCATAGATGCTCTCGGGTCAGGGGTGCTAAAGGAGCTGGGAAGCTGGGTCAGGCCCCGTCAAGGTCACGTAGGGGCAGAAGGGGCGTTTGTGGAGACGGATTTGGGAGGAAACTTGAGGCAACGTGAGCATCATCTTCGGACAAGCTGGCGGAGCGGGAGCCAGTGGCAGAGCTTGGAGACCCCGCTCGTGGGTTCAGATTCACTTCTCTGCGCTCTCGTGTGTTACAAAGACCTCCCCGCCCCCGGGGGGTAAGTGCAAGGCCATCTGCTGAGCCTCGAGCTTTGTCTGCCCTGGGCCGGGAAAGCGCCTTGGTGCTGTGCGTCTGCCAGAGATCACTAAGGTGCCACAGGGACTGATTTTGGAGGAGGACGGTTCAGGGAGCAGGTGACTTTGCAAACAAGGGGTCCACGAATAACGAGCGTGGACTGTGCCTCAGCCTTGAAGACGGAGCCCTGGATGGGGCGGTCCTCGGGGGGCCTCTCTCAGAAGGCGGAATTAAAGCCGAAACCTGAAAGTCAAGGCGGAGACAGCCCCGGAACGCTGTCTAAAGGTCAGCACGGCGTCTTTCACCGTGTTTATTTTTTTCTCATTTGATTCTCTCCTCTCCCGCTTTGCACCTCAGAGGTTCAGCCTCTGTTCTTCGAGTGGGGACCCCAGAGGCTGTGACCGGGCGTCGTAAATTTTTACATGCCTAAGTCAAGCGGTGTTTTACGTTCCTTCCAAGGATGCGAGGCCCTAGAACGTGTCCCCTCTTCTCCGACTGACGAGCCGTCTGTCATACGTTTGACTTCTCATTTTAACCTCCCCAAGTTGGACCTGATTTTCCTTGTTTTCTACAGTGTTCTTGTTTATATTTCCCCCAGTTTCCCCCACGTATTTTGCCTGTAGTTTAAAAAATTTTTTTTGTTAATGTTTATTTTTGAAGGAGAGAGAGACAGAGTGTGAGTGGGGGGGGAGGGGCAGAGAGAGAGGGAGACCCAGAATCTGAAGCGGGACCCAGGCTCCCAGACGTCAGCACAGAGCCCCACGCGGGGCTCGAACCCACAAACCGCGAGATCATGACCCGAGCCGAAGTCGGACGCTCAACCGACAGGAGCCCCCCAGGCGCCCCTCAATGTATACTTTTAGGTGGCTGATTTACTCCAACACCCAGAACATGTGGACGTGTGCTTTCTGCTTCCCCGTTGCTGTTGAGAGGCCGGTGGAGGGTCCCCCTGTGCCCCGGACCTCAGCTCCGCCTCGCCTCTCCGGCTGCTTCCAAGACCCTCTCTTCTGCGACAGTCCTTCTTGACGTTCCGTAATTGCAGATCTGGATCCTGGCAAGCACGAGCCACGCTAACGGCCGAAGCCGCTCCCAGTCGTCCTGGGCTTGGGGCGTCGCCCGACAAACCTCCGCAAACCCCAGCGCCTGTCTTGCCTTTCGTGGCGTAGGGGACACCCCACTAGGTGACCTCTGGTCACGGCGGTGATGGCCACTCCCGCCCTCGCTCCTGCTGCGCTGCCCAGCCCCGGGAGCCTCTCCGTGTGGCCCTGCGAGGCAACTAGCTAATAGGTTCTTCTTTCAAGGCGGGACGTACCTGATTAAAGCAAAATCCAGGTACATTTTAGGCCACTTGTGTGACCTTGGACTCCGGGATGTCTGGGTCTGTGCACCGATGTGTTTCATAAGTTGTCAAGACCGCTGGGCCCCTCTCCCCTCACATTCTGGCCTTTGCCCTATTCTGTCCCCGCGACTGGACCGCTGTGGCCGTGAGTTGCGCGTCACGGGGCCGACCTGGTGCAGCAGAGGAAGCCAGGGGGCAGGCGGAAGCGGGGGGTTAGAAGAACTTGAATCGCGTTTGCCGACGGGTGCCAGCACGAGTCTCCGGAGCGGGCCGGGGGCCGGCCCGGGCTAGCCTGAGCCATCCTGCCCCTGGGATCCGATCACCGGCACCTGCTGGTGAGCACGGAGACTCCAGGAGGCACGAGGACACGAGCCCGTGGGGTGGCTGTGGGCGGTTCTCCCGTGACCCTCATTTGGTGGCACCTTCCCGTGGCTCAGTCCAACTCTGGGAGCCCACGGTGTCCTCTCGCCTGTGGCTCTCTGGCCCATGCCGAGGGCCTCACAAGCGTCTCCCTGTCCCCGGTCCCCATCCTCTGCTTCCCTTTTAAATTTACAAATAGGTAAGAGCAAGAGAACCGAGGCCCAGGAGCGCTTGGGAAACGGCTGCCATCTTTCTTCCCGCCCTACTCACTACACTTCCTTTATGTTTATTTTATTTTATTTAAAAAAAAAAAAATTTTTTTTTAACGTTTATTTATTTTTGAGACACAGAGAGACAGAGCATGAACGGGGGAGGGTCAGAGAGAGGGAGACACAGAATCGGAAGCAGGCTCCAGGCTCTGAGCTGTCAGCACAGAGCCCGACGCGGGGCTCGAACTCCCGGACCGCGAGATCGTGACCTGGCTGAAGTCGGCCGCCTAACCGACTGAGCCACCCAGGCGCCCCTCCTTTATGTTGAAAAAAAAATAATAATAATACTTGGGTCATCTCTCTCTCTCTCTTTTTTTTTTTCTTTTTTCATTTCTGGGAAAATCTTTATTTTGTGTATTTCTCAAGCATCTTGATATTCCCTGCCTCAGACGCACGGAGGATCCCTTCCTTCCAGTTTCCCCTCAGAATTCCCACTGTTTTTCTTTTGCAAAGGCCTCGGGGCGGCCAAGCACCCCCCACCCCCCTCCCCGGCCTCTCCCCCCTGCCTCCCTGTGAAGAAGAAAGGGCTGACTGAGGTCTTTAGGCAAAGCAGATACATCCCCACAGAGCCTTCAAAGGTGCCTCCCCAAAGCTGCCAAACGGTTAACTCTTTCCAAGAGCGTTGGCTGGGGCCTGTGAAAGATGTCTGGGTTCGTTGATTAAAAAAAAAGGTATTGTTTTTAGCGCTGTCATCGGTATTAACGAATGCCATCAGACGATACCAAGTATTTGCAAGGGGCTCTGGGTCCCTGCGACCTACTCGAGGCTTCGAAAAATGGAGTGATGTGGGGGGGGGGGAACCAGAGGCCCCCTGCCGGAATGGGCCTTGCCGAAGAGGCGGGCAGGATCCCTTCCCTCCCACACCCCAAAGAGTTAAGCAGAAATGGTTAATATTCCTCCCTTGGGCCCCCGCGTCCCGTATTCTAATGTATGAACTCGCATTCAGACGTGAGCCAGCCGCATATGCTTCCCGGCCGGCCTCGGCGACATCTCGCCCCCTCGCACGGCACGCGGGGTCTCCGCCGAGCCCTTCGTAAAAGCACGATTTTGTGACCAGGTAACCCTCACCTGGGCGGCACGCACGCCCAGACGCGTGGCCCCCCGGGTCCCGAGCGGGGTCCGCTTTGCCCCTTCCCGTCCGAGGGCTCGGCCCGAGGTGAGAAAGAGGGGGCAGGGTTATTAAGGATTCTGACAAGGTAGGCTGAATAAATTGTGTTTCCTTTGTGAGCCTTAATCCGGTGTTGTATTGGCTTCTCGGACATGGCTAATTTATTTGGAATTTCATTCTGTTCCTGACAGCGTCCTTGACTAGCTGTTTGATCACCTCGAGCAAAGTTACACGCCGGCTTTCAGATGTTGGAAGGGCGGTGGGGTATAACTCAGCTCAAGTGCCTTCTCCCCGGGCCCGGCTTCCTGCCTGCAGCTGGGACGTTTCAAACGGCCGGGGCCATCCCTGGTTCGGGAGACAAGGCGGCCGGCGCGGGGGTCCCCCCCCCCCCCCGCCGTGCCCCTCCAGGGAGGAGGCGGCTTTGGCCACTTGCCCCCTCCCCCAACTCGTCCCTCTGTTTGGGATTCGAATCTGCTTTTGTGGTGCAGGAGGAAAGAAAATCAATTTCCGCCCCTCTGTGAGTTCGGAACGGTGCGTTTCAGGGGAAACCCGGTTTCGAAATGCGTGTTCTGTTGGCTTGAGGGGTTTGAGACGCAGTCTTCCGGGGGCGGGGCGGGGGGGGGGAGAGGTAAACCGGCCTCAAACCGTCCCAGGGTGCTCGCGCCCGCTGCGCACCGGTCCTCGCCGTCTCCCCCGCCTTGTGTCTGTCGTGCAGAAGTGGTTGACGCTCATTCTCTCCTAACTCACGTATTTCCGTGGGGTTGGCACGTTTCCTTTTGGTGAGCGCAAGCGTGTCTTGCTTGGATACAAAGGAAAAATGATGATCTTGATCGGTCAGCCGCCAACTTGTGGCTGCTGGTTTTATACTTTGGGCGGAAGCCGGTCTCATGGACACAGGGGGCCTCCTTCCCTTTGGGCTCTTGGCCCCGGTACACAGGACACCTTCCTGCTGAGCGCCTTCTAGGTGCCAGGACGGGGGGGATCTGGTGGGAGCTCCCGGGCTAGACGCACGTCAGAGATTTCAGAGGACGTCAGCGCCGTGGTCAAAGTGGAAAACAGAATCAACCGACCGACCGAAACCAGGGTGATATGCCGGATGGACCCCGGGGGGAGAGGGGCCAGCGTCACTGACCAGCTCCTCCCCTGGAGTCCCTGAAGTCCGCTGGCCGCCTGCCGCCTTTGAGCAGTGATGTACTTCCCCTGCAAAGCAGGCTTACCCCCGGCCTTACCCGCAGACACGGGGAAGGGGCTATTGCCCCCTTTTACGGAGGAGGCAGTTGAGGCCCGGGGCATCGCAGGACGCCCTGATGAGAGCCGCCAACTGAAATGGGGCCCCCGGGGGGCTGGTTCTGGTGCTGTCACCCACAGTGAGAGCTGGTCTGGGTGGGGGGGTGGGGGGCGGACTGGGCCACGCCTCCATCCCAGACACCCCCCCCCCCGGGCTGGGGTCGCCCCTGCTCAGCTCTATGCGTCGTGGGAAACTCTGACTCCCTTTAAGGGGGACACTCGTCATCTTTGTCATGGGTTGTGTTCAGGGGGAGGGCAGGAGGGAAGGGGGAAGCCGGGAAGATGTCCCAAGTTCACGGTGATCTGGAACGGAATTCTGGGGCCTGTTTTGACCTTTGGGTTTGTCCTGATCTGCAGGGGAGCTGGGCGCCCCCAGTCGGTCCTGGGTCGCGGTGCTGGGCGGCCCCCACAGCATGTTCCCTAGAGGAGTAAAGAGCTACTGAAGCTAGGGGTCGGGGGCACAGAGGTGGGTAAAAGGTCCCAGAGACCAGGGTGCAGCCCCGACCGTGCCCCAAGCCCATCACCTCTGCTAGCTGTAAGATGAGTAGAGTGGGGAGCACGCGGTGCCCACCCCACGGGACACGGTGGGAACTGCGTGACATCAGAACTGGCCTGTCTGATGCACTTTCTCATCGCCGAAATATTTTCTCTTTCTGGGCGACGGCCACCTTATCCATCTAGGGTCTGCTGCACCTGCTGTGTGTCACGTACACCCTTCTTGGGAGAAGTCAGCGGGGGGCACAGCCGTGACACTGTCCGGGGGCTGGGGACATTCACTTCCTCTCCCGAAGGGCGTGCTGACCTTGGCCTCGCTGACTCTGGGGCCCGGGGGCATCTGAGCAGGATCTGGGAGGCCTCCGTGATCCCAGAGCTTCTGGGTGTGTGGATGCCACGTGACCGGGACGCTGTTGACTCTGCGGGTCCCATGGTGTGCTTGGCAAACAGAGGGATTTACCCAAGGCCACCCTGTCCCCACCTGCCAGGTCGGGAGCTGGCGTGCGCTCGGTGCCTTGGGTTCACCCAGAACACCCACCTGGAGACGCTGACCGCGCAGGTGAGCAAAATGCCTGCTCAGGAACCGGTCCCTTCTCCCTCCCCGCGTTCATGGCTGCTTCCCCCTGGGACCTCGCCCCAGATGCAGACGGGTGTGTCCAGGCAGGTGGCTCCTGAACACCCCTGAGGACTTTCTGCAACATTCTGGAAGCCCTTGCCAAGTGGCCACGTCTTCCAGAATGCCCTGTGTGCTTCCTGCCTCCATGCTGGGCTCCTGCTAAGTTCTCACGTAGGTTTGAAGCCACGTCCGTACCTCTGCGACAGTCGGGGTCAGCAAATGTGCCGGGTCACCTGGCCAGGTCCGCTGGTGTCCGCTCGCTCTGTGGACAGAGGCAGAGAAAGTCATTTGCCACCCAGAGAGCAAAGTAGGGCACGGTGCCCTTTCACCGGGGCTGATACCGGAGCCAGTGGGGGGTGAGCGCTGAGCGAGGGCACCGGTGGGGCTCATCCTGGGACTGGCCCGTGGTGAGCACGGGACACACGTTCGCTTGGCTTCTCATTGAGGAAAACCACAGGTGAGGGCTGCCTCCCTACCCCACTGCCCATTTTAGGCTGTGCTCCTTGTCAGAGCCTTTGCATTTACTCCTTAGAACCTTCTGGGAGGGCTGGAAGGAGCACATTCTTATTTTGCAGATAAAGAAGAAATTCAGGAAGGGGCGTCAGGTGGCCGGCAGTCCCGGAGGCCCCCGAGCCTTCTCCCTGACCAGGAACCTGAGGGGGGACTGCACGCTTTCTGGGGTGAGTACGTGCTGGGCCCCCCAGGACGAGCTCTCAGCGACCTCGGCTCCTGCCGCCGGGCCCTCTGAGCTCCAGGTGGGGCCCTGTTGCCTTATGAGACCATAGGGTCTGAGGAGGTGCCCACACTGTCTCTTCCCCCAGGCAGAGCTTGGCTGGGGAAGGTCCGAGGTGGGGGGTGGGCAGGGGGTGCAGGGGTGCGGGGCTGTGGGTGCCTGGGTGCGTGCACATCTGGGCTTGTGTGTGTGTGTGGCAGGCAGATAACGGCAGGTGGAGGCTGTCCCTTCGGTGATGGTGTGGGGACATTTCTCGGGGCATCCTCTCTGGCGGCGGGAGGGCCGTCGGGGATCTGGAGCCCGGGCACCCAGCAGCGTGCTGGTCCCCTGACCCGCACTCAACGCTCCCTTCGGGTCAGGCCCCAGCCACCTGCCTCACTTTCCCTCCAGGGGTCGGTGCCCAGACAGGCTGAGGCTCCAGGTCAGCCGCGAGCCCGCTGGATCAAGGCCGAGGGTCACGGTGAGGGTGAGAAGGGACCCGCCGGGTGGAGGTGGGAGGGAGAGGGGCAGCTCGGCCAGGGCCTCCGCAGGGGGAGCGGGGAGCGAGCAGGTCTGTCCCGCCGCACGCAGGTGGCAGCGCGCGGGTGCGCCGACCCCCACGGACCCCCTCGCGGGCGGAGGGGGGGAAGGGGGGTCCTCTCGCGTCCCCTCCCCTTCCCCGCGTCCCCTTCCCCGCGCCACGCCCCCCCCCCCTGCCGCCGAGCGATAGCTAATTGGGCAGAGAAAGGGCCCGATTGTCTGCGCGCCGGAAGCGCGGGCGTGGGCGGCTGGAAGCGCCGAGAAGGTGGCCGGCCTCGCCCGGCAGCTGCCGCCGGAGCCGCCCGGGGGTGACGTCAGCGCTGGCGAGCGGGGAGCCCGGCGGAGAGGGGGGCGCTCGCGGCCTCGCCACAATGCGACCATTGTGGGCCCGTGAATGCGGCCGAGCCTCTTGACCGGGGAGGCCGCGAGCCTCGCGCTCTGGCCTGTCACTCGCCGCCGGGGAGGCCCGGGCTCCGATCAGGGGGGAGCAGGGGAGCAGGCCCCTCCCCCCCCAGGCACAGCCCGCACCCCAGGGGGGGCCCCCCACCTTCGGCATGGCCTCCTGGTGGGAGGGAAGCACGGGCCCTGACCCGCTCCTGGTCCTGCTGGTCATTGTCCTGTTAGCCCGTTTCATTCTCTGGTCCTGCCTCGGGACCTACATAGACTATAAGTTGGCCCGGCGGTACCCCCAGAAGCCCAAGGAGGACTAGGGCCTCTGCCTGCTGGGGACTCTGAGCGTCACCCTCCCTGCCAGCCCCTCCAGGAGGGCGCTGCCCCAGAGGCGTCCTCTCCTGAGCCGACGGCGTGCGGGGAGGGCCAGGCCACCGACCCCCGGCTCCTACCCGCAGGGCAGAGATGGACCGTGGCGCCCCACCCACTGGCCCTGAGCTGTCCTGGTCACCAGCCCTTCCCATGTCGGGACCGAGGGGCCACCACGGCCTGTCTGCCCGTCGGTCAGGGTCTGGGGTCCGCAGCTGGAGGGAGCGATCGTGGGGGGCGCGGTCCGCTCTGCCTCCACGTCTTTGTAAGTATGTTTGCGGGAGGAGGAGGGGATGAGCCACAGGGGCTGGGGTGGGAGCCGAGGGGACAGACGTGGCCACGTCACGAGCCAGCCCTGCCACCCAATGCTGCCTTGCCCCTCGGCTTCCTCCTGCCCCCCGGAGGGATAATAGTAAGTTCAGACGGCTGCCTTGGTTTCCCCAGAGCAGACCCCCAGAGGGTCTCAGGACAGGCTTGACACCTGAGTGCGAGTCCGGCTCTGGTTGGCCGCGGGGAAGGAAATCTCTGTCTCTAAAATGGGCGCAATAATCCCTCCCTCCTCAGAAGGGAACGAGGAGGGTTGGACGAGGGGCGGGGCGGCAGCCCCCCCAGCCTGCACCCTGCTGGACTCGTGGAGGACAGTGCAGGAGAGAAACCAGGGACCCAGAGAGTGCCTCTCTCCCTCGGTGCTTGGAAGCGTGTGGCTGAGACGCGCCTCAGAAGGCGGGCAGGCGGGAGGGTTGACTCGGGCCCCAGGAGCCGGCGCCTGCCGTCACACCCCGCCTCGGAGCGGCACCCGGTGGCTCTGAGGTTCTCGACCTGGTGGCTCCTTCTGAGCACCCTGCGGATTTTAGCACACACGATGGCCGGGCTCCCCAGACGGAGAAGCGGGGGCAGGGACAAGATGTCCTTGGGAGGCTGGCGCCTGGCTGCACAGGACCGGGGACACCTCCTGTCAGAGCAGAGTCTCAGGGAGCTGGTGTTGCTGCCCGGGCGAGCAGACCCGGCGCCACCCGTCTTGCCTTGCGGCGTCCGGGCAGAGGGACCGCAGGCCCGAGCCCGGGGAGCGGCGGGACCCGATGAACTCACCGGCACCGAGGAGATCTTGATTTGCTCCCGAAGGACCTGCCGTGCTCCAGGCAACCTCAGGGCCCGGGGAGCCGGTTGGCGGGAGCGGGGACCTTCTGGGGGCGGGGCTGACCCACACGAGAGATTTTGATGGGGGGGTGTCTGGGGGCGGATGGCCGATGAGGCTCTTTTCTTCTGGATGACGGTCCAGAGAGTCTGCGCGGTGGTGGTGGTGGTGGTGGTGGGAGGGGCTTGGTTGATTCATCAGGGGCCGGAGGGCGGCTGTCCTGGGGGGTTGTGGGAGCAACAGAACTCACGCCCCCACCGCGTCCAGAACCTGGCGGTAGGGGTCAGGGGAGGAGGTGTTCTCGTTGCCCTGAAGGAAACCGGCGTTCAGTGCCCTTTTAAAATCACGCGTGATTTTACCGGTCTCTTTAAGAAGAACCACGTTGTGTTCTCAGGATCGGGTAGCAAAGGAGGGCGGGTGGCCATTCATTCCGGTTCGCCTGGGCCGGACCCAGGTTTAAAACGGGACGTTCCCCGTCCCGGGAGACCTCTCTACCTCGCGCATAGCAGGCCCCGCCCCCACCCGAGGGAGGAAAAGTCCCTGCACACAGCGTGTTGACGGGACCAGTTGCAGACTTGCGTGTAATCTGCGTGCAGCCTGCGTGTGCACACGGGTGCGTGTGATGGCGCTTCGGCCCGTACTTGAGGTGCGCCGTTTGGTCCAGTGAGCCAGGATGCTGGGGCTCTCACCGCCGCCCCTGCTGTTGGGGTGGCCTGGCAGAGGGGACAGAAGCCAGAGGCTCCTGCCAACGTGGGACCGTGCAAGAAAACCAGATTCTGCCAGGGCTGTTTGAGCCCCTTTGGAGTTACACTGGTCGGTACCTTTCTTCCCCCCGCCGCCGAAGCCAGTGTGCGTTGTGTCTTGATTCACAACGGATACGTTCTGCTGGGCGCGGGTCTCTGCAGCGATGCACCAGGCCGGCCATCTACAGCCTTATGACGCCTGCCCGGCTCAGAACAGGCACTCGAGCCGCGGCGTCTGAGTGAATGACAGGATGTGCCCTGGCCTGATATCAGGCAGCAGCCACACCTAGCTGCAAGTGACAGACGAGTAAACAGTGACTTAAACAAGAGAAGCCTTTTGTTCCCCTTTCATGTTTATTTTCTTGTGTAGCAAGAGGTCTGGCACTTGGGATTCCCGGACCGGGGTATGGCAGCCCCATGATATTATCACGGGCTCAGATCCTTCCATATTTCTGCTCTCACGTGCAGCTTCGGTCTTCATGGTCACAAAAAGGCTGCTGCTACTCCAGGCATCCTGAGTGACGTTCCAGGCAGGAAGAGAAAAAAGGGTGATAGAGAGGGAGAGGCAATTCTCTGACACCTAAAACCCTTAGGTTTATATCTCATAAACCAGAGTCATGTCACATGACACCCCTACATGCAGGGGCGGCTGAGAAGTGGAGTTTGTTAGCGGGGCTCATTGCCACCCTAGATCATGTGAGGATTCTATTATAAAGGAAGGCTACATAGGGGCTTCTGGGTGGCTCAGTCGGTTAAGCCTCTGACTTCGGCTCAGGTCATGATCTCACGGTTCGTGACTTTGAGCCCCGCATCGGGCTCTGAGCTGTCAGCCCAGAGCCCGGAGCCTGCTTCCGATTCTGTGTCTCCTTCTCTCTCTGTCCCTCCCCTGCTCATGCTCTGTCTCTCTCTGTCTCAAAAATAAATAAAACATTAAAAAAATTAAATAAAGGAAGGCTACGTGGATATTAGACGGGCAACTGGCCGTGTCTGCCACTGACCCTTTGCCCTTTGTTGCAATTGTCCTCATTTGGGACACGAAATGCTGATGGGTAAATGAATGATAACTAGGGCCAGCAGACGGATAAACGGAGGGGAGATGTTGTGCTCAACCCGGCAAGCATTGTTCAGCCCTCACAATGTGAAAGCACCGTGGATGCAACGTAGAAAACACAGCGGCTTGCAGGCTGGGAGCTGAGAAGTGGGCAGAGAGACCCGGACCCTGGTCACGGATGCTGGATCTGCGCTAGGCATACGTGGCTATTAAGTACTGGAAGGGTGGTCAGTGCCAATGAAGAGATACTGATTGAAATGATACATTACCGAAATGATAATAATATTTTGGACACGACTGGGTTCAATAAAATACTGAAATTCATTTCACCTGTTTCTTTTGATGCGTTTTAATGTTGCTACTAGAAAATCTTAAAGCGCATGTGCAGCCCACATTATTTTTATATTGCACAGCGTTGTGCCAGAACTTCATGACAGAGAGAATGAGCCCTGGTGGGCAGGTGTGCTGTGTGTTATAGGAACGCATGTGTCATCGGAAAGGGAGCTTTCTGGAGGATGGTTTGAGGTTATAACATCAGTACTACACAGCAGAGCTTATGAGATGCAGCCAAAGCTGTTCTTACAGGAAAAGTCATTGCCGTAAATACTGTACAAATGAGAGAGAATGAAAATCAATGACTTAAGTATATGACTCAATAAATTGAAAAGAGAACAATAGAACAAAGCAAAGAGAAACGGAAGACAGAAATGAAGAGAGGAAATTAGCGTAATAACAAAGTGATAGAATTAACAAATGTCCCCAAGTCCTGGATTTTTAAAAAATAACGTTTCTTATGTATTTCCTTCTCCTTTTTCTCTTTAAACATTGTGTTGAAATACACACAAGGTAAAATTTACCATTTCAACCATTAAAAAAAATGTTTATTTATTTATTTTGAGAGAGAGAGGGGAAGGGGTAGAGAGGGAGAGAGAGAATCCCAAGCAGGCTCTGCACTGTCGCCCAGAGCCCGATGCCGGGCTCGATTCCACGAACCTCGAGATCATGACGTGAGCCGAAATCAAGAGTTGGAGGCTTAAACGACCGAGCCACCCGGGTGTCCCCATCTCAATCATTTTTAAGTGTGTATTTCAGTGGCATTTTTGCGGGAAAAAAACCCCCTAACAATCGATCCCATTCCTATGTTTTAAATTCATCACTAAAGAGTGAACTCTCGAAACCCTAGCCCCCCACCGTTGACCTGAACGAAAGGTCATACGCTCTCTGTCTCTCCCGCTGCGACCTTGCTGTGTGGCCCCAGGTGTGCTGTGTAATTTGTGGCTCCAAGCCTTCATTTCTTCAAAGTCTCCTGACGTTGCTGCCGAAGAGCATCTTACAATCCCAGTAGGAAGCCAGGGGCGGGTCTAACCACAGCCTTGGTTACTGGCAGGCTGAGACCACGCGCAACATCTCCTTTAAAACAAGGCATGAAGGCCCAGGATGTTTCAACGGAGGACCCCTACCACTACCCATACTCAACGCTAAAGTGCTCTAGCTCACAAAAGAAGGAGTGCTCTCAGTTCCATGGAGTAAGCATCTCACTGGGACCCAAGTCCCCCGAAGACACACGGAAAGAGGAAATGCCTGTCGATGTCACTTAGAAATATTGGCGCAAAAGTACGAATCGCTGAATTAAGTATCACATCAGAGGGATAAAACATCATGACCGAGTAGGGTGGGTTCCAGCAACGCAGGGAGGGTTGAATACCAGAAAGTCAGTTAATACAACTTACCACAGTAATAGCTCCGAAGAGAGACATAACCTAATAGTTTCCTTCGGGGTATTTCCAAAGGTCTTGGGGTAAAAGGTGCATCCGACCTCAAAACTCATCAAAAACAGAAGTAGATAATAGATTGATACGTTTTTAACCCGAAAAGGAAGTCCTCTCTTAACAGGGAGCTGTTCTCTATCCCGATGCGTAGGGAAGTACCAGCAGCATCATCACCCAACCCTGGAGTCGGGGGGGAGACGTTCTCGGGGGCTGGACGTGGTTCCGGGGTGGGGCGTCGCCTGAGGGACTGGGAGAGAGGTGGCAGGTACAGGAGGGGTAGGAGCCCTGGGCAGGAGAAGGACATGCTCGGGGCACTGGCAGTGAGATGGCTTTGTTTCTAAGCCACCGACCGCACGGGCACATGTTGGCATGAAAAACCCCATTTATAAGAGCAGCGAACAGAACACCTGTGTCAGCCGCTCGGAAGCTTCCCTTCCCTTCTGCTCCCTTCTGTCGGTTTCGGGGCGCACTTTGGATGCCGCAGGTGAGACTGACCGGGGACGGGAGACCCTGGGAGGGAGGGAAGGGGCCGGTGGGGACGCCCACGCAAGGCCGGCCGTGGGGAGGGAACGTGGCAGGGGCAGACGAGGGTCAACCCGGACCCCCGAGGGCAGACCTGACCACGTCTGTCCCTCCCGCTTCCCGCTGCGATGCCCCACGCCTTGCGGGAGGTCCTGGCGCTCCTCTCGGACCTTCAGACGGCTGACACCGAGGCCCCCTCCGGAGCAAGCTTCTGGGCCACGCGCTCTGGCAGATGTCACCGCAGCTCAGCCCAGACGCACACAACGAAGCCACCGCCTTGGTGGGGAGCACGGAGGCTGCTCACATGTCGAGCGGCTAATCGTCACGGGGGACGGGATCTCCTTGGGATCAGGGGTTCCCTGTGCCACGGGGTGGGCCGTGTCACAATCAGGAGCGTCGTGGGCGTGGTTAGTCATCTCCTTTACGTGACTTGCTGGGTAGTAATGAATAAAGTACCCACAGGGAGTTCTGATCTCTTCCCAGGGAGGGGATCTTTAGGCCCTGGCAATGCTCTGAGTGTCCTTGTCAGCCTGGGACCTTGGGCCACGTGGGACAGTCAGTCTCACAAGGTGACTTCTTACAGGGGCTTTGGCCACACAGTTTCCTCCCCATCTCCAGAAGGGGGCGGGGAGACTGAAGGCTGGACGGGTGGGGGGTCAGCCGTATCTAGGGGGTCGAGTCTGACAAAAACTGCACACCAAGCTCGCTTTAGGGGGGAGCTTCCTGGTTGGCTGTGTGTGTCACGCATCCTTGCGGGTGGGGCTGGCACTGTCCGCGGTCCCACCAGGAGAGGACGCAGGAGCTCTCTGCACGGAGCTTCCCCGGGCTCTGCCCCACGCACCTCTGTCCTTGGCTGATTTTGAGCTGTGCCCTTTTGCTGTAATAAACCACCACACTGAGCATGGATCCCCCGGGGGGTAAGGAGTCCTTCTAAGGAGTGATGCGCCTCGGGGTGGCCTGGGGACCCCTGAACGTGCAGTTGGGGTCAGCAGTGAGGGTGGCCTTGGGGATGTTCCTGACGCCTGCCCCTTCCTTCCCTGCCCGCCGCCTTCGCCCCGACAACCACAGAGGGGCATCCCCCCCCAACGCCAGCCTGCTCCCCACCTCCCCCAGCCACGTACCCCCCCACCCCCCCGCCAGCAAGTGCGGCCGTGGTGCTGCTTTCTTGTGTCTTCTCTGGAGCCCGTCCGCGTACTTGCGAGAAAACACAAATACCTTCTCCCGTCTCCCCTCCCACGTTCCTTGTCTTGTTCTCTAGCTCCACATCAGCTTTTGTGGGTTTTCTATTTTTTCTGTAAAGTGCGTGTATTTAAAAAAATTTTTTTAATGATTTATTTATTTATTTAAAAAAAAAATTTTTTTTTTTCAACGTTTATTTATTTTTGGGACAGAGAGAGACAGAGCATGAACGGGGGAGGGGCAGAGAGAGAGGGAGACACAGAATCGGAAACAGGCTCCAGGCTCCGAGCCATCAGCCCAGAGCCTGACGCGGGGCTCGAACTCACGGACCGCGAGATCGTGACCTGGCTGAAGTCGGACGCCCAACCGACTGCGCCACCCAGGCGCCCCTGATTTATTTATTTTTAAGAGAGAGAGAGAGAGAGAGAGAGAGAGAGAAT